TCTGAAAATTCAATATTGGAATCATTGCTAACACTTTTGGGAAATTTTATGTGTTATCAATCTAAGCTTTGTGGGTTTTTGACTGATGATAAAAGTCTTCGTGTTAATCTGAGCAACAAGTAACATAGCTCCTAAATTCACTGCAACATTTAGCCATATCAGTTTCTCTTTGCCTGCAAGAGTGGCTGTATTTCAATGATATTTACTTGTTCTCAGCTTAGGCAATAACCTGTACAGTCAAGTGTAGCCAGAAGGTTTCTCTGGTCCTGCCTGGTCCAGCCATCCCTCAGCGGCTTATAAAATAATCATTCAGAGGCTTAATATTATTTAAAAATTGTATGGCCTATGGCAGGCCTCTTGCTAGCTAGTTCTTACAGTTTAACTCAACCCATAACTATTAATCTATGTATCCCCACATGTCCTGTGGCATTACCTACGTCCTATTACATGTTGCTCCTAGAGTGGTAGTCTGGCATCTCCCCTGCTCCACCTTTCTCTTTCCTGTCTCTCTCCTTGAATTTCCCACCTGCCTATAAGCTGCCTTGCCATAGACCAAAGCAGCCTATTTATTAACCAATGGGAACAACATACATTCACAGTATATAGAAAGACATCCATCAGTCAAGGGCATAATATATTTTCTTTCTTTTGGCCAATTCTGTTGATTTAGTTCTTTCTCATTGGCAGATAAATTGAGTTTATGTAGCAGCAATTTTCCAGAGGGAACATTAATAAGATCCGGTAGATGTGATGATCTTGCTTAGCTCCCCTGGACTAATTATAAAACAGGTTTTGGTGCTACTTTTCATTTGTGCAAAATTGAAATCCCAGTGGCCCCACCTTGTTAATCTTGGATGCACTACTGCGGTTTACCACTACAAGCACAGCTTCCATAAGCAGAGATTCATCCTTGGTAAGGTCAGGCTGTGCCCAGCTCTAGGTTGCTCCTTATTGTGTAAAATGATGGCTTTCAGGCTGGGTCTTGCCCAAGTTGGCTCCATTTTACAAGCAATGAGTTGATGCCTGGGCATCTCCTGTGCACATACACATGCCTTCTACCCAGGACCACCCATAAGGCAAAGCCAGACAAATGACTTATTCCCAAAAGTGAAAAGCCATCCCTTAGACACATATCAAAATCAATTAGATACATGAGAATGAGGACATATCAAAATCATACCTGTGCTGGATAGTTTTATGTAAACTTGATATAAGATAGATATGAAAGGAGGGAACCTCAATTGAGAAAATGTCTCTATATGATCCAGCTATAGGTGTGGTAATACTTTGTTTGTACTCTTAACAAATAAAGCTTGCCTGAAGACAGAGGGCAGAGCCAGGCACTAGTTAGTCATAGAGGCCAGACAATGGTAGCACACACCTTTAATCCCAGCATTCAGGAGGCAGAGGCAGATGGATCTCTGTGAGTTCAATGCCACCCTGGGCTACATGAGATTAATCCAGTCTAAAGAGAAACAGAGCCAGGTGGTGATGGCTCACAGCTTTAATCAAGTCCTTGGGACTCACATGCCTTTAATCTCAGCACTAGGAAGGCTGAGACAGGAAGTGATATTGCTGGGCAGAGAAATGAATATAAGGTAGGAGGAGACAGGAGCTCAGTCCTTTTGGCTGAGGATATGATGAGGTGAGAGGTGGCTGTGGCTTGTTCTTTTGTCTCTCTGATCTTTCAGCATTTACCCCAATATCCAGATATGGGTTCTTATTAAGACAAATTAGAATTTATGCTACATGTAGGGCATTTTCTTAATTAGTGGTTGATGGCAGAGGGCCCAGCCCAGTCCATTGTAAGTGGTACCATCCCTGGGCTGGTGGTCTTGGGTTCTATAAGAAAGCAAGACTGTGACCTGTCCACCTCATAACCTTGTGGGAAAGAGCTCACCTCATGATGTCTGCCTGAGGTCTGTTGGGCCTTCTGATAGACCAGGACCACAGAGTGCTTTCTCTCAGGGCCCAGTACAATGCAGGAGCCACATTGAAATGGAATGAATTGAATTTTCCCTGCTGCATGTGGCTCAGGCTGGCTTCTCCTCAAGCAAGGTGATTCTTCCCCTATTAGACATTGCTGTGATCTCTACACAGGGCCATTTCCTAGATGTGACTCCTCAGGCTGACACATTGTCCAGTGTCATAGGGTCCTAGAGACTGGTCTAGACATGCTCTTCCTGGATGTATTTTCTCTAGCTGCTTTCAAACTACAAGAACAGAGGTGAGCAGGTGTAACAGAGACACTCACTCCTGTGAACACTTCAGTATTTATATAGTAGAGGTATTAGTTACTTTTCTGTTACTGTGATAAAACACCAAGGCCACATTAATATGCAGAAGGAAGGATTAGAGGAGCTTATAGTTTCAGAGGAACAAGTGTCCATCACCTCACAGAGAAGCATGGCAGCAGGCATACATGGTGACTGGAGCAGCAACCTTAGAGCCTACATATTGGTAGTTTGCTTTGGTATGGTTTGGTTTGGTTTGGGATTTTGAGACAAGGTCTCACTATATAGTTCTGGCTATCCTAGAACTCACCATGGAGAACAAGGTGGCCTCAGACTCAAAAAGATTCACCTTCGTCTGCCTCGCAAGTGCTGGGATGAGAGCCCTGTGATACCGTGACTAAGTGAGAGCCCACAGCATAAACCTCAGGGAAGGTCCAGAGATGAAGAAATGGGAATGGGTTTTAAAGCCACACCCCCAGTGACATACTTCCTTCAGCCAGGCCATTAATCCTAAACCTATCCAAACAGCTGCCACCAACTGGGGACCAAGTGTTCAGACATTCTGCCCTATAAAGGACAGGCTCATTCAAATCACCACACTGAACATTCACAGGAGCATCTTGGGGTTCATCCCTGAGTGACAGGACAGTAATGAAGTGATACAAAATAATGACTGCACTTGATGCAGGGTTGGATGGTCCCTCTTGTTGGGACCAGATGGGTCCTCCTAGGAAGGCAATCTGTCTTTGAGGTGGCCCAATTTTAATTGCTTTTTAGGTTTATTTTATGTCTTGACTGCATGTATGTATGTGTAGCACATATGTGCCTGGTGCCCTCGGAGGTCAAAAGAGGGCATTGTATCTGGAACTGGAGTCACAGTCAGTGGTGAACCACCATGTGTGGTTGCTGAGAATCAAACCTGGATCCTCTGCAAGAGGAACAAGTGCCCTTCACCGCTGCACCACCTCTCTAGCCTCAATGGTTCAGTTTAAACAATGGACACAGGAGCCTGGGGTTTTCATGGGACAGCAGCTCTCAGCTCCTTGATCATCTGTCCTGTCTTTAATTATTAAAATCCAGCCACATCTGGGCTGGCTAACCATCTATCTCTATTTAGGATTTTTGTGTTCTGATAGCCATGACGCCCTTAAGCAGTTACGCTATAAGGTGGGTCCCCCTTCCTCATCAATGGACCACTGCCCTTGATGTTACTGCCTCCTGACCACTCCACCTGATGGGATTTTCATGCTGCTGGGATTTCAAGTTAGAAACAGTTTCCTAACACCACCCCAGCCTTGAGCCATCATCATCCCTGAGCTTTGAACAAAGCTAGTACCCTTCTCCCTGGTCATGCTCACTGTGCTTCCCAGTAGGGATGCTCCAGCATCCCACAGAGCAGGATGGGCTCTGCACATCTCCCCTGGATTGTTTGATGTTACATCTACTAGGGCACATGTATTTCTCTGAGAATTTTTTATCACCACTCTTCTACTACCAGATTTAACAAGTCTAGATTTTCTTTGTCCTATAGTGTAGACTATCCTCTGTCCAGTTCCAGGAAGCCATCCCTGGAGCACTGCAGTATGTCCAGGGATCTGGCATGTGTTGTTCTAGAGTTATTCTTTCACTTGATAAAACACTACTGAGCGCAACTTAAGGGAGAAACTGATTTATTTGACTTCTACTTCAAAGCCAGTTTGTCATTGAGGGATGTCAGGTACTTAGACACAGGTCTTCTTGCTATTTCACACAGCATTTTTATGATCAAGGAAATTGCTTCACAGCCAGAGTCATAGCAGGAACCATGGGGAATGCTGCTTGCTGTCTAGATCACTAGCTCCTGCATAGCTACATTTCTTATCCAAGCAGAGACCACCTGTTGAAGAAATGGTAATGCCCACAGTGTCTGGGCATTCCTACATTGTTAACAGTTAAAACAGTCCCTCAGTAGACACTCCCTTCTTAGGTGACCATAGGCTGACAGTGAAAATTAACCAGCAAAGATGTCCAAGTCTATGATCTGAGAGTACAGATCAGTAGAAATTGTCTCCATGAAACTTCTGTTCCATCCTCACCCTGCTCTACTGTGCCCACAAGCCTCATAGTCCATCCTGTCTCCACACAGTCCACATGGCAGCTTCTGGAGACTCTCCAGAATGAACAGATCTGGAAAAGACATCCTGAACTTGTCTTGCCATAACAGACAATGCCTACTCCTAGTAAAAACACGAGATAATAGATAAGAGAATTTTCCAGCTGCAGAGCAGGGCTGGCCACATCTGGATGTGCATCTTCAAACAACAGAGAATGGCTGTGCTTTACTTAGCACAGTGGAAACTCACTCTGGGATTTGATTTTATTACTTACTTCCCTCTTAAAAAAAAAAAAGACCCCCTTCTAGAGGACTCTCTTGTTCCACAGAGACTGTCTCTGAGCCCTTGCTCCACATCCCTGACCTCACTGCATGTTTCCTTCACAGATGCTGCTTCTCTTAGCTACAGCTTCACTGTTGGCAGCTCAGGGTCTGGACCATGGTGGCAAGTCCAAGGCCAACTGAACACAGAACCTTTAATTTACTGTGACAATAACAACAGCTGTCAGGCCATTGGTCTTCAGAGGAGCAGACTGAGTGCCACAAAGATCTGGCAGCTACAGGTTAAGACTCTGAGAGACGCAGGTGACCAGTTCAAAGCAGTCGTGGCTCACTTGAAGGCAGATACTAGCACAAAGAGAGGTAAGTTTCAAATGGCCCCCTAGTGCTGGGGATGTAGCACAGTGGTAGAGTGCTTGCCTAGCAAATGTGGAGCCGTAGGTTCAATCCCCTCTGCTACAAATTAAATAAAGAACATAGCAGATGGTCCCTTGAAGGAAAGAACAGGATTTGTGACAGGTTAGGGTCATTCATTGTTTTCATGGAGGAAGAAAATAAATGCCTGGTCATCCCACCTAAGAGGACCAGCAGCAAGGAGGGCAGAGCAAGGTCAGAGGATGGGAAGGGAGGTGGGTAGACAGACAGGATTCATCAAGTCCAGAGGCTGATCTCTTTCCAATGGGCACAGAGCCCCTTATTCTGCAGGCCACGATGCATTGTGGGCATGAAGTAAATGGAGGTTTCCGAGCATCCTGGGACTTTGGCCTCAATGGACAGAAAATGTTGCATTTTGACTCAAGCACTAGAAAGTTTACTGAAGTTGATTCTGAATCCAGCCAGTTGAAAACTATGTTGGAGGAAGTAACTGACTTCTTATACTGGACCTCACGGGGGGACTGTAGGTCCTGGCTTGAGGAGTTCAAGTCACACTGGGAAGAAAAGCTGGAGCCTACAGGTAACTGGGAAGAAGGGCAGGAAGCTATCTGCAGATGAGTGTGTGTGTGTGTGTGTGTGTGTGTGTGTGTGTGTGTGTGTGTGTGTGTGTGTGTGTGTTCTGGGGATGATTGCCATTTTTTCCATCAATCATTTCATTTCTCACCCTCTCCCATCTCATTAATTGTGTTTACATTGTTCTCTCACTGTGGTTCTCACAGGCTGTTACACACTGAGCAAACTTCTATTTCTTGGCCTTTTCCTCATTCTAGACTCTCTGCTACCTTTCATCTCACCTGAAATTTCTTCCTCCCTGCCATCATCCTCACAGGTCAGCTCCTCTCCTGTCAGCAGGAAAGATGTGGCCCCAGCATTACCCTATTTCCCCTACCATAGCTGCAGGAATCTTTTGAGGACACGGGACATACCCTCTCTACCTTCCTGCTTGGGACCCACCCAAACAGTGGTTGCATAGCAACGGGGCAGGGGGTGGAACTCTGTGTGTTGCCGAATCACCTGAGCACCCAGAAGCTAAGGTGAGATTTCCACTTCAGCCTCGTCAAATGCTGCTCCGGATGTGGCAAGCAAGTCCAACATCTCTGTCCTGCTGATGATCCTCATCTGCTGCCTCCTGTTTCTCTTACAATATTTGTGATGACAGGTACTGAGGGCAGTATTGGGAGTGGTGTAAGGGACAGATGGGTGAGAAGTGAGGAAGCAAGAGGGAATTCCTGGAGTCCTACTCTTGTCCCAAAACTATAGCATCTTATTGACAAAGGAGGCAGGAGATCTGGAGTTCATGTCACCTGCCAGCAATAGCTTGTGCATGCTCAGCCTTGACAGGACAGGAATCACAGACCACTAAGAAATGAAAAGGGAACACAGCAGGTTCCTAATCAGGAGGGTCCCATGATATAGATGTGGAGACAGTAGGAACACAAAAGAAGAACATGATAGTTCCACTTAGTTTGTAGAGGAAAGAAGATCCCATGCCACAGACAAAGACAAAGAAGATATAAATAAAGAGACAGCCCAGTGGCAAGACCACATGCTACTCATCCACCAGACCTGGGGTCCATTCCCAGCACCCACATGGCAGCTCACAACCATACACCTCCATGTCCAGGGGATCCAGCCTCTTCTTCTGCACAGACCCCAGGCATTCACACAGTGCACTTAAATACATGCCGGCTCACACTCATACATATAACATAGAAATGAATGAAGCAGCAGCAGCAGCCTCCAGAACCCCTGGGCCAGTGTCCACACTGGAGGCTGTGGGACTGAGCTGCTGCTGGAGTAAGCTGCTCCCATCTGGGCTGCCCAGGTGGACAAGGTGGGGCAGGGACAGTCACACACACAGCTGTGATACCACTCCCAGGTTTTGAGTTTCAGAATGAAAGAGAAAGCATGTGTGGAACCCCACTCTAGTCCTGGATAACCAGGTTCAAAGACTATTTTGGCTAGGGTTCCTCCCTCCTCCTTGGGCCCCTCCCATCAGGCCCTGAGTCAGGAGGCAGAGCCAGTCATCACCACTTTATTCTAAACTTCAGGTCTGCAGCAGGGCCTGGAGCTGACTCTGGGACATGGGAAAGAAGGGAGGAAGACAGGAGAGGCTCCAGGGATGCAGAGCCCAGGAGTGATGGAGGAGGGAACTGGATGACCTCAGTGAGGGTGACTGTGGGTGGTGATGACTGGTACTGGGCACCCAGGGGAACTGACCCAGGCTGTCCTCAGACCTTCAATGGACCTGTTCCCTTGCTGCAGGTTGAAGATGCTGCAGAGGAGGTCGTGAGAGTTCATCTGGTGCAGCCACTCTCCCTCTCGTCGGCCTCAACCAGATGAATCATGGTGCTGCCGACACAGTGTGTCATGATCTTTCACTCTGTGCTGCTCACTTGGGTCTTTCTTACCACCTTGTACTGTTTCCTTGGTGCTCCTTGGATGGATTATGCTCTTAACATGGATCTCAACCTCTGGAAAAGAACATGGTTGTGTACCAATTCCTAGCATAGGAAACAGGACAACCAGATCCCTTAGTGGGAGTGTGAAGTTTTTACACTTGCTTATATAACTGGCAATAATCAATTATCTCAGATGTCACCAAAAGAAACCTGTAACAGCTAATGATAGAAAATGGAAATTGAGAACTAGTTGTTTAGTAGAAGTCACTGGTAACTGTAACACAGTCCCAGACCTTAGCACAGCTAACTCCATCATGCAACTGCCATTCAAGAGGCAAAACTCAGCACACAGACAGCACCACCTGTCATAACTAAAACAAAGGCCTGATCCATCCCAGTCCATAGTTAAGGGAAGTCTCTGAATGTACTAACCTTACCTTTTGACTTCTGTATTTCCACTTCTGGCTAACCATTCTTGTTAACTGAAGTATGTCGACCCAAAGCATGGGTTTTTGTGCTTGAAAGCTCTACCTTAGGGTCGGTGCTACACTGGGATCCCAAATACCATTGTAGTTGCTAACTAGCTAATAAAAATTTTCTATTGACTTAAATCTGTGTCTGAAAATTCTTCTCTGTTGAGTTCCCTACAACATTTCTGCAAGTCCCAAGGACATCGTAGAACAAGACCTGAAGACCCCAGAGATCTCAGAGCCCCTTGGATTCAGGAAGAATGTGGTGGTCAAGGAGCTCCTGGGCAGTGGTCCTCAGCCTGTGGGTCTCAACCCTTTTCAGGCCCTTTCAAATGGGTCACACTTCAGATATGCTGCATATCAGACATTTACATTACAATTATAACAGTTGCAAATTCCAGTTATGAAGGAGCAACAGCAATAATTTTATGGTTGGGGGTCACCACACATGAGGAACTGTATTGAAGGGTCACAGCATTAGGAAGGTTGATATCCACTGTTCTAAGGGGTGTGAACCCGAGTTCAGGGTCCTGGCACGCTCTTTGATCAATTGCTGCCTAACACTTCAGAGGAGTATGAATCTTCCACCCCAAAAGAAAAGAAATTAGAAAGTCACCTGGTCTATCACATCTGGAGGTGAGTTTGGTTAAGGCGCCTTCTCTTTGGACACACAGGAGAGGTCTGACAATGTCCTGAATCTGTGAGATGTCACTTGATTCCCCATCTGTTCAGGTGTATGAATGTGTGGTGGTCACCACTGGTTGTCTTCACTCTCTGTGTGTGTGTGTGTGTGTGTGTGTGTGTGTGTGTGTCTGTCTGTCTGTCTGTCTGTCTGTCTGTCTGTCTGTGGGTCTGTCTATCTGTGTGTGCCTGTGTCTCTCTCTCTCTCTGTGTCTGTCTCTCTGTCTGTGTTTCTGTCCATTTTGGTTCTCTTATATTAGCCAGTGGCTTTCTCTGATATGAGAATCACCTGGTTTAAGACCTGTGTCCTTCCTGTTGGAGACCCAAATCAATTTTGGTTCTGCCAGTCTCCCAGAGACAAAAACAAACAAACCAAACAACAACAGAAACAAGGACCCTCCCCGTCCTCCCTGAGTGGGAGCACTTGCTTGGCTCATTGCTTGACTCCTGCTCATGGTCAGGGTTGGTCTCTGTGTGGAGGTGTGGAGGGGCCAGGCTTCTCATTCAGGGACCTCTGCCATCTAAGTTACTGCACACAGGGTGGGGGAAATAGTTCTCAGGTGAGCATTAACCCTCCACTCCATGTCCTGTGGGGGGCCATTCCCCACCCTGACATTTCCCCAGAGCACTCTTGAGTAGAAGCAGCAGGAAATATTAGTTAGAAGGACAGAGCGGAGAGAAAAAGATAGAAAATACAGGATAGCCTCGAGAGAGCCCAGGTCCTAATCCATCAGGCTCTGACTCTCTCTGCCAAAGGGTTTTTAAAAGAATGCCAAGAGGTGGAGCAAAAGATTCCCCAAGAACAGGCAAGTGCAGACCATCTCAGACACCTGTACTCAGGCCCGTGGTCCAATCACCTTCTTTATGCAGACCTGCTGAGTAAAGCCACCAGGAAACCTAAAATGGGCTCCAACAATGTCTGATCTAAGCATCCCTGGGGAAGGGGAAATGTCCCCTGAGCTGAACCCGAAGGAAAAGAGAAAGTTCCACTCCTTTCTCTTTCATGATTTATGTCTTGTTGTAAATTAATGTTCCATATGATTGGAAAACTCAATTCCCACCCTTCTCTGATGAGAAAGAAAGAAAGAAAAAAAGAAAGAAAGAAAAAAAGAAAGAAAGAAAGAAAGAAAGAAAGAAAGAAAGAAAGAAAGAAAGAAAGAGGGAGGGAGGAAGGAAGTAAAGAAGGAAGGAAGGAAGGGAGGAAAAAGTAGGGAAGGAAAGACGGTAGAAGGAAGGAAGAAACAAACAAACAAACAAAGGTGGATGGAGGATCCCTGCCAGACAACACAGCTTGATCAGAATGGATTTTCCCTTCTTTCCAACACTGACCAAGGAGATAGTAAACAATTTTCAATATGTAATTTTAGGAAGATTAAAGACAATTGCTAAAATGATTTCCTTTGTCACCCAGTTGGCCCCAGATCTTAGAAAAAAAGTATAAATATTAAAAAAATTAAAAGTATAAATATGTCCCAGTTCCTGGAGATAGCTCAAAGGTGTTCAAAAACAGAGAACTGATTGAATCAAGACCTTTTGCATGAACTGAAAGCCACCATCACCTTCTCTGATGATGAGACACAGATTTACAGACACCCAGCAAAATTTAGGTGTCTTACCCTCTGTCAGAAGAATATATCCTAGCTGAAAGTACTGCCTCCAATCAAAAGATACAGTTGGACTCTATCACAGGTTTACAACAATTTTTCGACAAATGGGACATCTATATCATATTCCCTGCTCCTAAGTCTCAGGAACCATCATGACAAGGGAATGTCTGATTCAGTGTTTATAGTAATATGTTTTTCTTCCTTCAGTTTAAAGACATTGCTATTTTATATGTACTCATCTTTAATGTTGGCTTTTATCATCTGTGTATGGGTGTTTTGCCTGGACATAGGCATGTGCACCATGGACATGCATTGCTGGCAGAAGCCAGAAGAGGCATCTGATCCACTAGAATTGGGATGACAGTTTTTGTGAGCTGTAGGTGCTGAGAATTGAACCCAGGTCCTCTGGAAGAGCAGCCAGTGATCTTAACCACTGTGCCATATGTCCATCCACTAAAATAAATTTTTTACAAAGACACAAAGTTGGGAAGTGGTAAGAATAGGTCTGGAAGAAGTGAGGGGAAAGTATTGGCCATAAATATGATCAAAATACATATATGCAGGCACGATAGTCACAAAAAATAAAAGTACTGTGTTTAAAATGCCTTGTTTACATATAGAGACCCACAGCCAGATATTATGCAGAGAGTGAGAGACCTTGGATCAATGATCCCTAAATGGGATATTTCAACCAATCCCTCCTCAGAGCTCCAGGAACCCTGTGGAAAGAGAGGCAGAAGGAGTCTAACAGTGTAAGAGCTAGAGGGTGGAGGGGATGAGGGGGGAGATGGGGGATGGGGGGAGTGGATGGAGGACTCCAACAAAACAAGGCTCTCTACATCAGCATGAGCAAAGCTCACAGGAATTCACAGGACTGAATCAGCATGCACAGGGCCTGCATTGGACTGCACCAGGTCCCCTGTGCTTATATCATGGCTTTCAGTTTAGTTTTTTTTTTGAGGGGGGGGGATCCTGACCATTGTAAACAAGTTTATCTCTGACTCTTGAGCCCTCTGTCGGGGTCTTTTCCTTCTGTTTGTCTGTATTGTCTCACTTCAATGTGATAGTTTTTGTTTTATGTTGTTAATGTTTTTAAAAATGAATGAATGAATGAATGAATGAATGTAAACCTAGCCACTAGGGTATAGGTTAACAATGGAACTGTCTTGTATACCTGCTTGGAGAGAGATAAATAAGTTTTTCTAATGGAAATTACCCTGGTTATAACAAGCACTCCAGGGCACATCACCTGTTCAGAAGTAGTTTACCAACAAATAATGGATACCACAATTTGTCTGTGCCAGCGCTTTTATTTGGTTAGTGGGTGTTTTGTTTGTTTGTTTGTTTTTTGTCTTTGTATCTTCCTTTTGGGTGATGTTGTATTTTTGTTTTCTAGGTTTTTGGACATTTGTAGCTGTACTGACATTTTAGATTATTTTTTGAGAAAGAATTTAAAGTTGGGTGGGTGTAAGCATGAATCTTAAAGAGTCTTATTAATAAAAAAAAAAAAAAAAAAAAAAAAAGGTATTGGGGTGAACGCCTGAAGATCAGAGAAGCAAAACAAGACACAGCTATCTCACCTTGCCAGTTCCTCAGCTGATCCTATTTCCTCAGACTGGATGCCTCTCAGCTGAACTGTGCTGCTCAAAAGCCTAAAAGCTTAACCAACTAAGTTCCTGGTTTTCATGCCTTATATACCTTTCTGCTTTCTGCCCTCACCTCTTGGGATTAAGGGCTCACTTCTTGGGATTAAAGGTGTGAGTAACCATGCCTGACTCTTTCCAGTGTGGATTTAAACTCACAGAGATCCAGATGGATCTCTGCCTCCCAGGTGATAGAATTAAAGGTGTGTGTGCCACCATTTTCTGGCCTCTATATCTAGTGGCTGTTGTGTTCTCTGACCCCAGATAAGTTTATTAGGGTGCACAATATTTTGGGGAACAAAATATCACTATAGGTGGGTAGAGAGGATGGGAGAGCCTGGACAAACTTAGGGGAAAGGAAGAATATGATCAAAATATATGTAATTTGAAAATAGTTTTCAGCCAAGTGATGATGGTGCACGTCTCTAATCCCAGCACTAGGGAGGTAGAGGCAGGTGGGTCTCTTAGTTTGAGGCCAGCTTGATCTACAGAGTGAGCTCCAGGACTGCCAGGGCTGTACAAAGAATAATAAATATTCTAAAACCAAATAAATAAAAATAGGTAGATAGAGAGATAGATAGAGAGATAGATAGAGAGACAGATAGATGGAATAATGGTTTTAAATAATAAAAATAGAAAAGATAAAAATACTTATACATTTTCATTATAAACTCATAGAACAACATTTATCACATCTACTGCTTGATAAAGAAAGGCCTTTCCTTTCCTTTCCTTCCAGATCCCCATGAGTGCTGCTCAAATGCTCTTCTTCTAAGCCATGGCCCCTTCTCCTCACCAGTGCCAGCCAGTACCAGTATCTATAGGTTCTTGGATGGGCTTGTCAGTCATTTTGAGACAAACCAACCTATTCCAATAAAGCTGCTGAGCGGAAGAAACAACATTTTTTTAAATGTGATATTTAATTTTGATATTCTTGTGGCTTTCTCTATTTTCTTTCTGTTTATTAATTTCTGGTTTAATCCCTTTTCACTCATCATTGATAATGTATATTGTATTAATGTTAACTTTATTTAAGCATTGCATAGTTTAGCAAGGTCTACCCTGGGAAATAGTCTATGTACACTTGAAAAATAATATAGATTGTACTGGTCTATGCATTGTTTGGGGTCTGAATTGTCTATAGTAGAGGTCCAAGCCCTGTTCCTTACCAATATGTGTTTGTTCTTTCCATTATTGAAAG